CCATATTCATTATTTTCTTTAGTAGAATAAATGTATACTTACTAAAATTATTTAAATTGTTTTTAATATTGCTAATGCTTGAATACACGAAATACTTTGGAACCCATTGGAATAAATGTATTTTAAGCTATTTGTTCAAACATAGTTGTGACTAATTCACTTACGTCCAAAAACCTTTAAAAATAGGATGTTAAGCCTTACAGCCTGCACTGTATTATGTAAGTCGGCAATTTTAAATTCTACTTATAATGGAAAATATTTTCGTAAAAAAATCAAGTATAATTGTTATTTCAAATATTTCGTTTGCACTTACAATTGAATCATCATTTATATGCATTACACAACACTATTTCCTAGATCCTACATATCCTTCCTATTTTCGAAACGTCAGCTCTATAGAAACATTTTCATGTTTTATTTGTTTCAGTGTCGACCTGGTTTATTTTCTGCCGTGGAACCTTGCAGCTTCCCTCATCACATTCGAAAGAAGAATATTCCTTAAATCAGTGTACTTACAGACTTGTTAAAAAATTCAAAGTCAACCATATCGCGTTCATCAGATTTCACATTACACCTAAAAGTGATGATTCCTTCTATTACCACTCAGATTTATCATCAGTTTCTGGCATACATACAGAAAAATATTGGACTGTTACAATTGACAACTTAAACCAATATGATGTTATTCCTATGTTCAAAAGACCGACCTGTTTCATAATAACCGTAAAAATGCGAGAGGAATTGAACTGGGTATTAAAAAATTTAAAATTTAACGACAATCTAGGAAATAAATTCCTTGTGATTTTTCAGTCATCCCTTAACAGTACAGTGGAAGCAATTTCAAATGCAATGAAACTTTTTTTTAACAGAAACCAGTTAAATTTTAAAATTATAGTCCCAGATTCTAGCAACGTTACTCAACATACGGTGTACTCCTGGGTTCAGCGATGCGGAAAACCTAGACGAGATAGATTTATTTACTGTGCCTTTGGATCTTTCTACAACAAGTCACTCTACGTAGATAACAAAAAACCAGTTGACCCGTGCTTGGTAAAAGCCTTCCATGCAAAACGCCCGCCTTACACAAGTTACGTTGACCATAATAACAAACTGGCAGGGATCGAGGAAAAGGTATTAAGCACAGTCGCTTCTGCTTTAAGTTTAACTGTGACCTATACTGAATTTAATCACCTTAATGAGGCCTACTCAAACGACACAACCACCGAGAATTTTCAGTTGCTACAAAATGGCTCTGCTGATATTCTGTTCGGTTGTTATGCATTGTCTGAAGGAAGGCTGAAACATTTTGGAAGTACTGTGAGCTATTTAACAAAGAAGCTTTCTTGGTGTGCACATCACAAACCGATGTTCAGCTTTGGTAAAGCTTTCGAGGTGGTTCCCATGTCTCGGTTTCTGATATGTATAGTAGGTCTCTACCTCGGCATATCCTTGGTTGTTTGGTGTATCAGTAATCTCCAACAAGGAGAGTCACCTTTCTACAAGAAGTTTTTAAACGCGTTTACAAACAGCTGTTTGTCTTTTATAGGAACATCAATTGGGTCGTTACCGATGACGAAGACTGTGAGATTATTAATAACCTTACTAAGTCTGTCAGCACTTATTATAAACACGTTTTATTCATCGCATATAACCAGTAGACTTATCTCGGCAAAGTATATTCAGAAATACGACAACTTAAGCGAGATATATGACGATAATCTAACGGTTTATGCTGCACCTGGTGTATTGGGTATGTTTAATAATTCAGGAATAAACATCTCAGCTTCTATAATTGCTGAAAAAGTACTCAGCAGAATGGAAAAATGTTGGGACACCACACAATGTTTAAAGAGAGTTGCTGGTAACAAGAGTGTTCTATTTTTGTCAAGTTTAGAAATATATTATTTTTTAAAACAGGAAGAAATCCCGATAAAATCTTTAATATATTGTTCTCGACAATACGCTTATAGATTTCTATTAACCATGTATGTAAGGAAAGATTTTCCTTTACTTGGAAATGTCAATAGGATAATCGGAAGAATTAAAACTTCTGGATTAATTGATAAATGGATTAGTGAAGTTGGCGACAAATTTACATCTCTTGTACACTCAGATATTATGATAAAACTGAAACACCTAATACCTGTTTTTAAAATATATTTCTGTGTGATTGCATTATCCATATTTGTATTTGTGGTAGAACTAATTATTGTTAAAAGGGGCTGATAAATTATGGGTTTTATCATCCATTAATGCTTGGTTTTGATGTGCATCTACTATTGGCTATATGCTTATACAGGATGTCCCAGAATAAAGTGTACAACGGAAGACTACAGATTCGTAGATTCAAAATAGGTAAACATTAATTCAGAATTGGCAGGTACAATGACTTAAAGATTAAACTGAAATTACAGTCAACCTACAAAATCAGTGACTATTAGCACTTTGTTAAGTATTGTAATAAGGGTGGGAAGATAATGTAGACATTTAAAAAATATTTTTTGTACCCAAACCGCTTATTTAATCAAAATTCTGCAAGTGGCCCCAAAACTTCCAAATGGTAACATATATCAATAAAAAATAGTTGTCATTATTGCCCGAAAGAGGAAAAGTTATGAACGGATTTTATCACCATACATTAATTTTGTAGGAGTTGTTTTAAAAAACACTCTATATAACATCAAAATTTGTAGAGTTAAAACAAAAGCCCACACCCTAAAAATAATCAAAATGGATTAATACATATTCAAGTTATGTATTTACAAAATTCAATTGCGATTTTGGATATAGGTGAATTATCCTAAATCTGCCTATTTTGAGCCCACGAATCTGTGGTCTTCCGTTGTGCACGTTGTTCTGGCACACCCTGTATATGCACATTTTTCTTTTTATCTATCTTTGTACAAGAAAGTTTTATATATTTATACATCCAACTAGTGATTTATTAGTTGGCGAATTATTATTTTTTTAATTAATTTGTTACAAAAGTTAGTAAGTTTTAAATATCTATAACTTTAAATATGACGTGTCATTGGTGTGCTGTAATAATAATTATTATGTGCATTTTATTGTCGTGGCAAAATACACAGAGTGAAACGTCGATAAATAAAAATATGTGTTTTTCTTTATTAAATTAATCCCCACTATTGACTATTAAAAAAATAAATGTTTAAATCAGTTCCAATTGTGTAAGTACTAATTAAGCCTACTTAATTACTGTTATTAAATACTTGATATCTAATATAAACGGGTTTCTGTTTCTTTATGCTGATATAGAGATACCTTGATTAATTGTTAATTAATTAATTAATTAATTGTTTAACAATTTTAGCCATTTAAATGTATTGCTCAATAATAATTGGAAACTGTCCTTTTTGAAATGGATATTTAAAATTAAATAATGTGTGTCTGTAAAGCTGATGGTTGTTGATAGAACCAGTATATCAATTTTATTTTTTTATTTTTTCAAGTGTTCCGCACAGCCTTTGGCTTTGGATTTGGGGGTTGTCTCATTTCTGTGGTGTGTCTTTTTTTTAATTGGTTGATTTTTAATGTCATGTGATAACCAAAATTTCATAACATCTTTATTGTATACAGGCTGTCTTACGGTGACGGCCCATTAGAATATTTCGGAAACTACTTCGATTTAAATTTTGAAAATGTAGGCTTTGGGGTTTTCGGGGATGTTCTATTTAAATAAAATGATGCCATTGTTGTAGCACTTCCGATTATAATAGAAGTGGCTATCAACTTCTTTATTTTAAATGGAACACCCTATATATTACTGCATTAGCGACAAGATAAATTTAAAATAAGTCAAAAATGTTAAAGTTTCCCTGTATACCTAAATCTCACCGTTTTCGAGATAATCGAAATTTTATAGAAATGTTGACAGATGTAAGCATTTCGAAAATTCCTTATATCTTTTTTCGTTCTGGAAGCTTTCACTTGCTTTTCGGAATACACAAAAAACATAAGATTCCACTGTCAAAATCACCCGAAGAAAATTATACCAAGTGAATCATTTTTTTACGTTACATTTTGAAAACTTAAAACCGACAAATCTTTTTAAAATCAAATGGAACACCCTGTATTTTTTTGCACCATACTATAAAAAGTCAAATTCTCTTTTCAATAATTCTCTTTTCAATAATGTAGGCATCATAGCTCCGATTTTTTTAAATGTTTGCGGAATATTATTTAAACTCATACTAGGGTGGAATAAAACTCCAGTTTTGGGGGAGGCATCGCTTTTATTCAACAATCGATACTTCTACATAACAAAATCATTAAACTACCAAAGCACAGGGTACACAGATTTACTGACAACCTTGAAGTTACTGACTTAGCCACAGGGGCGGATCCAGAGAGAGATGGACTCTGGGAAATTTTATAATCGTAATTCATTCATTATACTAAAAAAAAGTTATGCAGTCAGGAAAGACATTTTTAAACAGAAAGATTTTTATCTTTATTAATCCGCGCCTGCCTAGCTTTGAACCCCACGTTTTGCATATACCTATGGGTAAATTTCCTATCTATAATCTATTCACTCTATTGGCAAAAATATTATTATGTTTTTGATAGTTGGTGAATAACTTCTAAAAAAAACTGTTTGTGTTTTCGGTGTTATCATTCCAAACAATTAGACAATTCTTAAATCTAGTTTAGACTTCTTAAATCGCGATTAATCCTCTAACAAAGCCGTGAAAATCAAGTGCAGAACTTGCGGAGAATGGTTTCAATTTTTAGTTACTCGTTCTCGTTTACCCGTGAGTCCCGTGACTGCTAAGTTTTGCAAATTCCATTCTCGGAACCTGCCGAATCATATGTTGCGGCTTTTGTTACAGGACTAACCGTACATATGACGAAAACTATGCAATGTAATTTGTAAACACTCCCAGAACACGTGTTGTGTACTCAATTCCACTAAAAATGCATCTTATTACAACCGTGATATATTAAGTGAGTATCAAGTAAACTCTTTCAATGTCAGTGACAACAATATCCGTGCAAAACATTCACAGGGAATTGAATTGCAAAGCTACAATAAAGTACGTGGTTGTGGTGCTAAGAAGAGATAGCAAAGTGGATCGATTTATTTCGAAGAAACCTGCAGCAGTCAGTTTCGGCCTGTTATTCTTGATTAGCATCTTCAAGCTGTCCAGCTCTTCCAGTTCTTTGGAATGCAGTGGTAAAGTCTGCTCTAGCATGTAACAGTTCGTCAGCAACTCCTCTGTCTCTCTCACAATTGAATCGCAGCAGAATGTTATAGCGGTCAGCCAAATCTGCAACAGAATCAGATCTGTAACGTTTGCAGGCACTCTCATTGTTACTTTTTTAATTTATGTTTTTCATTTTGTTAATAAATGTGGAAAATATCAAGATTGCGTTTTTCCAATATTGTAAAAGTTAACAAATGCACTGCAATTTACCCGCATTGTTGACAATAAAAACGTAGCAATTGATATCGACAAGCAGAGGAAGAAGCTTATCAATGAGCAAAGAGGTCAAATATATGAAGGTAACCCGCCCACTTGTAATCACACTCCTAGCTAAAAATGCAAAGCGCACAAGTACGAGTATTTTTTAAAATTATGGATAATTTCCCATGTAAACCTTTTTAATATTTTCCGGTTTATGTCAGATGTCTAGTTCCCGCCATTTTAACTTCTCATATCTTCTTATGTCATCAAAAACACCCCTTACAGGACCCACTTTAAGGACTAAATAAATATTATTGGTCGAATTTTTCATGAATGCTAAAGCCTGATCTGTTAATATTTATATTTCACTTCCAAAAATGATATGTCTTTACTTTGAAATACCAACGTTTTCCAATATTATCAGTTTTAATAATATAGTCCATTGAAATGAAGGCTGAACCTCCAATTTTTGACCTAGGTGGTCAGGAAAGGGGTCAAAAGGTCAAAAAACCGTAATAATTATTAAAATTAAATAATTAAATAAATGTATGTCATGATTTGGACAATTACTAAGGAAGAGAGGGGAAGTGTATATCTCCGGCGGTGAAACCTATTTGGGGACTAGTAGAGCGCGCACGCTACATGTATCGGCTGACTCGCAGTTGACAGCTCTAGCAGGTGTGTCTTTGGAATATAATGCGATTTCAAATATAATTAGCCTGCAGTTGTAGTGGATTTTTTTTTGCTACTTTAATTTTTAAATGGAAAACCAAAAATATTACTAATGATTAATGAATGAACAGAAAAAAAAATTTTAGAACGAAATACTTATTGCAAAAATGAAATATACA